TGGAAACACTTTCACAGAGAATTTATTTGAATAAGTGAAACATTTTAAACATATTTAATTGCTAGTTATGCTAAAACAACAGAACTAACATTTCTTCTGTAATATTTTTTCCAGTAGAAAAGTTTTATTGAAAAAAATAATGGTGCAAATAAGGTTTTGGTTTGACAGCAAAAAGGCTCATTTTCTCCTGTCCCTCCCCATCTTTGAAAATCTATTAAAGGAAGAAAAAGTTCATCCCCATGATGCCTGACCAGAGTCTTCTCAGGAGCACCCCCCTAAGTATTTCCTGATCTCCCCAACTGGGGCCAGGGCTACTGTGGCGGTTCCTACCCCAGGGGCAGCAGCACCTCACTTTACAGTTGAGTGGAGTTAGGAGGAGATTGGGATAGAGTTGGGGTGGGGTGGAAGTGGTGGTAGTGTTAGGAAAGGAGGGTCCACATTCCATGAGGGTTTGGCTAAACCCCCAGCTTGAGTCTGTCTCAGATGAGAAAGCACTTGGCTATAAATATATACACTGATTGAGGACTGGAGGGTGGGGCATGACTGCTGCCTGGGTCCTATGGGATGTGGGGCTGGACTGAGCATGGTATCTGGAAGTCCATGTCCAAGCAGAGTGAACTCTGGCTGGGAATATCTGCTCAGGCACACAGGAAGCCTGCTTTTCCCCTGCCCACGCACCCCATGGAATATCCAAGGTCAGTACCTCAGCTCTCCCCACTCCCATAGCACCCATGAGTCTCAGGAGCCTTCAATTGCCTCCTGCCATCCCACGCCTACCCCAGGGCCCTACAACTTGCCTTGTATCTTGTCACTCTTGGGCTAGACCAGGTGCACAATGAACAGTAGGAAGCCAGTCTGGGAGTCTCAAACCAGGAAGATAAAGGGGTGTGGTCAGCAGAGAAAAGCTTGGGGCTGCACAGCTCCTCACGCCCATAGATGTCCTGGTCAAAGTGGTTGCCCTCTGTGCCCCACTTGAAGGCAATGGCATGGCACATACTAGCCAGGTATGGGTCCCTTTTGCTTGACATGAGTGACAGATCTGCCTTGTTCTTGTCAATGGCCTCAGTCAGACCCAGGCCAGACAGGTGTTTCTGCAGGTCGAGGGTCACCTCCACCACACTCTTGGGCAAGGAGATGGCAACAGCCCTCTTTTGTGTCTTGCCCATCCAGATCTTCAGTTGCTCTTTGGTCAGCATCTTTTGAAGACATTCAAGAGGCTCCACGTGGTGGGGCTTAATGATGATGAGGCTGAAGAGCTCGTGGGCCAGGGGCATCTCCATCATTTGCAACTTCTGTTTCTCATTGTCATAGTAGTTCTAGAGGCCTGCCTGGTGCACCATCGTGACAATTTTTGGTGCAATCCTAATAAAGGAGATAACAATTTCATTATTGAATGAAACTTAATTTTTTTTACTCTGCACAATTATTTTGAGATTCATCCCATGTTGTAGCTGACATAACAAGATCTTTTAGTCAGTACATCTTTTAGTTATAGCTTTATTTTTTCACAAATAATTGATATGAGAGTAATATTCACAATGTTATAAAAATGTGAGACTATATGAAAATTGATTTCATAGTTGATAAAATACATAAGATATTGATGAACCCAAGCAGAAGCTCATTTAGAAATTTGTATTAGCATTAGGCATTAAATTTACAGATGTTGTAGAATCAAAGTTGTACATACACCATGAGACATTCATCATGAATTCTGATGGATGTTAACAAGAGAGAGAAAATAGCCAAATAAGCAGTAAATAGAAGTAAATAGAAAGTAGTAGTAAATATATTTTTATGTATTCTACAATCTCTATACTACTTTTTAAATTGCTTCTGCTTAAAATGCTTTCATAGATTTTTACTTATAAAAATCTTATATATTTACCCATGTAATTTTCAATTCCATTATTCTTCACTCCTTTGTGTGGATCAATATTTCCATCTGGTATCATTTTCCTTTAGAGAGAAGTAAAATGTCTTGCATTATACTACATGTTCACCAGTGATGAATTTGTTCTCTTATATGTCTAAATTTTTTTTCATTTTGCCTTAGTTTTCTTAAAAGATTTTATTTACTTATTTTTAGAGAAAGGGGAAGGGAGGGAGAAAGAGAGGAAGAGAAACATTGATGTGCAAGAGAAACATCGATCAGTTGCCTCTCATATGCACTCCAACATGGGACCAAACAAACCCTCAACCAAGTATGTGCCCTGGCCAGGAATTGAACCAGTGACCTTTCATTTTGTGGGTAGAGGCCCAACCAACTCAGGCACACCTATGAGGGCTTTGCCTTGGTTTCTAAAAGATTTTTTTAAAGATGTTTTCTCTGTGTATGGAAGTCTGGGATGATAGTTTTTTGTTTTTTTCTTGAAGTACTTTGGATGGCTCCACTGTTTTTTTCACTTACTTTGTTTTAGATCAGAAGTCTAATCTCACCTTGACTTTTGTTTGCACCTAATATGTCATTATTGCTCTGGCTGTTCTCTTTATCATTGTTATTGATCAAATTGATTATAATGTGCCATGGTGTCATTTTAAGTATTTTTTTGTGCTTGGAGTTTGTTGAACATCTTGATTTTGTGTATTTGTATTTTCCATCAAATTTGTGTGTTGTGGGGGGATGAGGGGAGATATTGCCATTGTTTCTTCTGGTAACAATCCCTTTGGTCTCTGATTCTGTGAGTCTGTTCTTTTTTGTTTCTTCTGTTATTTTAGGTTCTACACATAAGTGAAACCATATGGCAGCTGTCTTTCTCTATCTGACTTATTTCACTTAGCACAATACCTTCTAGATACATCCACATTGTTGCAAATGGCAAGATTTGGTTCTTTTTATTGTTGTGTAATATTCCGTTGTCTATATATTATACCACTCTTCTTTGTCTATTCATCAATATAGTGCAACATTTAAATGAATATTCTCATCCTTAGCTTACTTACAGAAGGCACATTGATGTTTGGTTGCTATGTATAAAAATGCTTGTGTAAAATATTTAAAAGTTTATTTTTATTCTTTCAAAGGAAAATATTATATCAGAGAAGCATATTCTATAAATCTGAAACCTGGGAAATCTAAATTTAAGAAGATACAAACTAGAGTGTACCTGACATGTGAACTGTTTGGGTGAATTAATATAAGGTTGTTAGAGGATGAAGAACTCTGATTAAGGGAAGGGGATGGGAAGAAGCCAGTGAGAACTACTTTCATTGCAGACTCATGCCCATCCTCTGTAACAAATCAGATACTGGTTTTCCCTAACTCAATCCTAACATTAATGCTGACAATAGTAGCAAAATACAGGGATTTCTGGTGGCTCACAGACAAAATGATAATAATAGCCTGATTTACAAGAATGAATGCTTTTCATGAAAATGTTTTAGTAATTTGTAGACTGTAGTTACATTGGCAAACATTCTGCTTTTAGTTTAAAGGTTACAAACTCAAATACACATATGGGTCAGGGAGATCATTTAAATGTGTAAAATGGATCAAGACTTTACTAAGAAATTACTAGGATGGTGATAAAGTAGCAAGTGTAGGCCTCATACAAAGGCATTCAATTAAAAATGTTTTTAAAATATTATGTAGGACATACAAAACATGTCTCCTGGCCAACCCACCTTTGTGGGCATCCTATTTAATTAATTAGCATTTTAGTGGGGAAGAAAGTCTGTCTTTATCACATTTAGTCTGCTTTACCTCACATTTAACTTCCACATTTTTGGAGTCATGGGGAATCTCTGCATATCAGATCACCACATGGAGAGATACTACAATCAGCAGTAACTGTAAGACCTGATGGTTTGCCATAGGAATTTTTGACCCCTAGAATATTAAAATTAATAGGCAGATTTGAAATGGTTTTGTAAGTTCTAAGTAGTTGATTTTACTTTGAAATAGTTGACTTTATTCCATATATGAGCATGTTTATCTTTCTACTAAAAATGGCATCACTAATTTAATACATGTCTATATATTTTCTCTAGATTAAGAGGCCAGTAAATTTTTCTGTAGAGGTTCAGATAGTAATTACTTTAGACTCACAGGCCACATAATCTCTGTCATGATTACTAAAGTCTCTCTTTGTAGTGCAAAAGCAGCCATAGACAATACATAAACAAATGGGTGTGACTGTGTTCCAATAAAACTTTATGAACACAGATTTGGACTTTGCAAAGAAAAGTGATATTTTCAAAGAAACATTTTCAGCAGTTTGTTTTTAAAGGTAAACCATTAATAGTTATCAAAATATCTGATGCTTAGCCAAAATTGACAAGTCAATATAGATCCTGTGTTTGAACTTTAAAGTGGTTTCAATTTACCATAAGACTCCCACAGAGTATGTTCACGTTGTATTGGGAAAAAAGCAATACTATGCCTCAAGGGGAACCCAGTGTTGTACAAAGGCCAGGCAATGGGAGTATCTGCCCTCATGGGAAGGCTTACTACTTTCACTGTTCCACTCTGTATTGTGATAATAAAATACAGGTAGATTTTAGATGATTTTATTAATATTTTAAATTGTCTATAGTCACTAAACTCTATTTTTCATGTACTTAGAGCCTCCAGAGGGCCTGGAGTGAGGGCAAACAGACACTTGGATGTGGCCTTAGGAAATAAAAGCCCCTCACATGTGTTGAGTGGCTCTTGTTGCCCCTGAGGACAAGGGGTGGAGAGAAACTTACAAATAGTGCCTTGAGTGATGGGGAAACGGCTCCCAGTCTTATAGGTGACATGCCCAGGGCCAGAAGACCATGAAATGCTTCTTCATGGCACCTTTGTGATTTCCCCATGGCCCATTATGAGTTCTCCCCTGTTATTGCAAGTAGATGCTGAACTCCCAGTTGAGGCATGAAAGGTCTGGTATTCACACCCAGGAAGACTCCCTCTGCCAGTCACTGTCTTATTGGCTGACCAGAAGCTGGCTTGTATATTGCCTGAGAGTTGTGACTTGCCTTTATTGGTGCCTATAACTGCTCTGTCTTTTTGCCCTTAGAGTGCAAGGTAACACCTTAGTGGACTGGATTCATGCCTATGCCCCAGTGGCTAACCAATCAGCATGCTTGGTCTGCACTGAACTCCTCCTGAGCACATAAGCTGGCCTCCCATGGCACATCTCTCCTGCTTCTGTCTCAAAATGGACTTGGCTTCAGAACCAATGGAACAGTGAACATCCCTTGTGGAATGTTACCTGAACTGACATCTGTGCTGGGGCGAAGCAGCGTTATGACTGGCCCAGCCATTAAGTAGCCACTCTGTATGGGATGGCTCAGGGTGGCTCACAGCTGAAGCTGTGGAGCTGGCTGGACCAGCTCCCCTTTACGTTGAGAATCCCGAGGGACAAGCCCAGGCAGCCTGGGCTCCAACAGGTCTGTGTCAGACTTGGACTCTAAAGCATTACTGAGAGGCACAGAATGATGTGTGGGCTGCAGTTCCCAATGGAACCTCTAGGTGTATGGCTCACATGAGTGGCCATACCAGGCCGAAAATTGGACTGGTTGTTGTACCTGGGATGGTCCTATTTGCCTGCTTGAGTTCAGAAAACTCTTGCAATCTGGCCTACCAATTGGGAAGCGTTTAAGGTGTGACACCGGGTAAAGTGTACTCCCTGGTGGTATTACCCACTAGCTATTTTTTCTCCTCAAGCTATTTCTATAGTCATGGAGACTGAAATAACTGCTTTGGCTTTGCACACTGCTCCTGTGTTGAATGCAACATGTGATTCCTTAAGCCTCATACATGAGGAAGTATATCAATCGAGGAAAGTAGCCTTATAAAATCACATGCCTTAGACATGCTCACTGCATCACAAGGTGAGGTGTGTGCCCTGGTAGGGGCTGAATGCTGTGTATACCTTCCAGATGTCCATCACAATGTTAGCCAAGCTCTACGGGCATTAGCTTCTGAGACCCATGACATCGAATGCATGACAGGTGATCCTCTGCAGGAATGGTGGGCATTGCTAACCACTGAATGGCAGTGAATCCTTGCTGTCTTGAGTGGCAATGCTTGTGTTCTAGTTGTGTGCTATTGCAGTTCGTACTGCTGTTGTGGCATTTGGGTACAGGGCTCTGCCCTCCTCACCAAGGGACCCTTGCGGAAGGCACCCTCGTGTAGATTGTATGGTGAATAACCCTGAAGTGGTGGATTGTAGGGGAAATGGAGTCAGTCAGCCTCCCTCACTGGGCCTGATAAGCAGTATTAGCATAGCTTTGAGAATAGGCCCGAGTGTGCAGAATCACACTTTGTTATATTATATCTTGGCCCCCTGCTGGTTTTGTGTGCATTTAGTATATAAGAGAGTAGGGGCTTCCCGTGGAGCAATATGCATCTTGTGGCGTGAGTGGATCTCCCCACCCTTGAATAAAGACATTTCAGGCATTCTCACAGCTCTGTGAATTTTCTTCTGTCTGCCTGAATCCCGAGTGAACCTGCCTGGCCTTGAAAGGATGCAAAACAGGGAGAGATGGGAAAGGTATAATCATATTCACTAAATTAAAAGGAAATGTAAAATTGATAGGAGGGTTTTAAAATTAAGAGACTACGGTTGGAGAAAAGATGGAGGCTTTACTCTAGGCAGCGTGATTCTCAGCTTCTGTGAAGAGGAGGGAAACCCATGGATCGGTGGAGAAACAGAGCAAGTGGCCTAGGTTACCGAGTCATTTTTGAAAGCAGGACATCAAAAATTATTGCAATCATTGAAAAACCAGATGGTAAGGAGACTGCTTCAGGACAAAAGGGACCCAGGGATCAGCGCGGGGACCAGGGGGGTTGCAGTCCCCAGGCCCAGTGCTCCCGGGTCTGCCTCAGGGCTCCTGGGAGAGGGGAGTTGCTGCTCCCTCCCCCAAATACGGGGGTTGAGCAACACTAGGGGAGAACTTGTTGCTTGAAGGCACAGAGAGGGCAGTTGGACTGGGGGGAAAATCACCCAGGGTCTGTGAACACCCATCCAGAGCCTTGGGATAAGTGAGGGCCTCCAGCTGGCATGACTGAAGGCGGCCTGGAAGAGTGCCCGCACCCCTAGCCCGGTGGGAGTGCAGATTGGTAGAAAACCCAGACTTCCCAGCCCCGATTGAGGAAAGGGCGAGGGCGTTCTCAGGTTTCTGGAGCCCGCGGTGCTGAACTGTGGAAGTGCGCCCCATTGGGAATCCTGACTCTCGCGCAGTGATCGCAGAAGGGACGCGGCGCTTAGTGCATTCCTAGAGCCCGAAACTCAAAAATTTGGTGGATGGGCACGCCCCTTTATGATTCCCAGAGAGGGCAGAGTGAATCCCAAAACATCTCGGGTGCCTCCTGAGATCATTGAGCGGGAACCCAGCAGGGACCCAGGAGCCAAGAAGAACCGGCAGTGAGCTCTGGAGAGCGAGTGAGCTCGGGAGCACCCTGGGTACGTGAGAGACTTACTGAGATTTGGCTGGGAAGAGTGATAAGCATTTCAAAGGTCCCTCAGCCAGCTGAAGCCAGCAAGATCAGAAAAACTGGTCTGGCCAGTTAGAAACCAACAAGAGGTTTTTTTTTTGTTTTACTTTGTTTTGTTTTGGTTTGTTTTTGTGGATGTTGTTGGTTGATTGATTTTATCTTGTGTTTTAAGTGACATTTTATTTTTCAATTCTTAGTATTTTTATATTTCTCAATCCCTTATGGTTCTCTTCCATTCATCCCAGTATTACTCTTTCCACTCCAAATTTACCTCTCCTGAACTCCATTCTTCTGCTTTGTTTTCTTTTTTTTTTTTGATCTTGCAAGTTACTGTAAATTTGTATTATCTTTTTCTCACTTTTCTGACATTTTTTATTTTAATAGTATTTTGGTATTCTTTTTCTTTCTGTATAATCTTCTTTGCTTGGCTGGTTATACTGTCATTTGATAGGTTCCCCCTGGTATCTCAGCCACAGTGTGTTGATAATTTACTATCCTTTATTTGTGTTCCATTAATACGCCTCTCAAGGTCCTATACTCTTTATTCTTGTTATCTAGATCTCATCGATTCTGCCACAAGACTGTCGTTTTACTATTACTGTTAATAAGACCTAGTTCATACAATTGTAAATACTGCTCGATACCCCTACCTGATCTCAGCCCACTTTGCAATTTCCTGAACTATACTATTGTGGGGGTTGTCTCTATTCTTTTACATGCTACTCCTATTTACTAATCTTTATTCCAACCTTACCTTAGAATCTGACCTCCCACAGCCTCACAGCTTTCTAGATCCAACTAACAATTGTCTCGGCCCCAATAAGAGTCTTACCTTCTTTCCATCTTTTCTAAAAGGTGGACAGTGGGGTGGAGGATCACGGTGAACACTATAAGGAGCCAAAGGATAACCCATCTCTTCTCTACTGGCTGCTAATGTAAATATCATAGTATACTGTCTTGCTGTCTTGAACCATTTTGCCTTACTCCTCCAACTGATCACAAAAAAAAGAGTAGGGGGAAGTTGTGAACACCAGGATACATGAAGGAGACTGCACCACTGAATCTCACAAGTATTCTACCACAGAAGTTCACACCATAATTACAGGGAACCATAACAAATCAATTTAAGAAACAGAGGCTAACAAGAAGAAACCCACAAACAATGAGAAAAAAAAGAAACAATCCCCAATTGAAGGGAAACAAGGAAGCCTCAGGAAAAATGCTAAATGAAATAGAGGCAACTCAACTATCAGATAGTGAGTTCAAAACAATGATTGTCAGGAAGTTCAATGAACTCACAATGAGCTATCAGGAACTAGAGGGAAACTACAACAATCTCACTGCAAACTACATAAACATGAAATAGGAAATAGAAACTCTCAACAAGGGCCAAGAGGGAATGAAGAATACAATTTCTGAACTGAAGAACACAGTAGAAGGAATGAAAAGCAGGGTCGATGAAGCAGAAGATCGGATTAGTGAGCTAGAGGACAAAGTAGAAAACAACACCCAGAAAGAGCAAGAAAAGGAAAAGAGGCTCAGAAAGAATGAAGAGAGATTAAGAGAAATGCAAGACAATATGAAACATAATAATATCCGTATACTAGGGATACCAGAAGGAGAATTAGAAGAGCAAGGGATTGAAAATTTATTTGAAAAAGTAATGAAGGAAAACTTCCCTAATTTGATGAGAGAAAAAGTCACACAAATCCAGGAAACACAGAGAGTCCCAATCAAGAGGAACCCAAAGAGGCCCACCTCAAGGCGCATCATAATTAAAATGGCAAAATACCAAGACAAAGAGAGAATCTTAAAGGCAGCAAGGGAAAAACAGGAAGTAACATGCAAGGGAGCCCCAATAAGTCTAACAGCTGAGTTCTCAATGGAAATACTTCAAGCCAGAAGAGAATGGCAAGAAATACTCCAAGTAATGAGAACCAGAGGTCTGCAACCAAGGCTACTTTACCCAGGAAGGCTCTCAATCAAGATAGAAGGCCAAATAAGAAGCTTCCCAGACAAAAGAAGTCTAAAAGAATACACCTCCACCAAAACCAGCTCTGCAAGAGATGCTAAAGGGACTGCTTTAAGGAAAGGAAGGAAAAGAGAGAGAGAAAGAGGACCACACGTACAAAAAACGCAATGAATAAGTACCTATCAATAATAACCTTAAACGTAAATGGATTAAATGCTCCAATCAAAAGACATAGAATAGCTGAATGGATAAGAAAAAATGACCCACATATATGCTGCCTACAAGAGACCCACCTCAGGATAAAATACCTGCACAGGCTGAAAGTGAAGGTCTGGAAACAAATCTTCCAAGCAAATGGACAGGAAAAAAAACCCGGGGTAGCAATACTCATATCAGACAAAATAGACTTCCAAAAAAGGTGCATAAAGAGAGACCCAGAAGGTCACTTCATAATACTCAAGGGAAGAATCCACCAAGCAGACATAAATATTGTAAATATATATGCACCCAACATAGGAGCACCCAAATACATAAAGAAAATCTTAGAGGACTTCAAGAAACATATGGACAGCAACACAATTATAGTGGGGGATTTTAACACCCCACTATCAAAAATGGACAGATCTTCCAAACAAAATATCAACAAAGATATTGTGGCATTAAACAACACCCTTGATGGAATGGACTTTACTGATATATACAGAGCCCTCTATTGAAAAAAAGCTAAATATACATTCTTTTCAACTGTACACGCAACATTTTCAAAGACTGACCACATGATAGGACACAAAACAAACCTCAAGAATTTCAAGAAAATTGAAATCATACCAAGCATTTTCTTGCACCACAAGGGACTGAAGCTGGAAACTAACCCCAAGGAAACCCAAAACACTCAAAATCATGGAGATTAAATAACATGCTATTAAACAATGAATGGGTCAAGAATGATATTACGGAAGAAATCAAAAGGTCTCTGGAAACAAATGAAAACGAACTCACACCAACCCAAAACCTATGGGACACAGCCAAGTCAGTCCTGAGAGGGAAGTTCATAGTGATACAGGCCCACCTAAAAAGGTTAGAAACATTCCAAACAAACAACCTAACCCTACGTCTACAAGAACTCGAGGAACAAGAACAAAGGCAGCCCAGAGCAAGCAGAAGGAAGGAAATAACCAAGATCAGAGCAGAATTAAATGACATAGAGACTAAAAGCACAATTCTAAGGATCAATGAGTCCAACAGCTGCTTCTTTGTAAAGATAAAAAAAATCAACAAGCCTTTAAGCAGACTCATCAAGAAAAAAAGAGAGAAGACCCAAATAAACACAATCAGAAATGAAAGAGGAGAGATTACAACAGACACCACAGAAATACAAAGGATTGTAAGAAATTACTACAAAGAACTGTATGCCAAGAAATTTGAAAACCTAGGTGAAATGGACAAATTTCTATAAAAATATAATCTCCCAAAGCTCAATGAAAAAGAAGCAGAGAGCCTGAACAGACCAATAACAACAAAAGAAATTGAAGCAGTAGTCAAAAAACTCCTGACACACAAAAGTCCAGGTCCAGATCGTTTCACAGGAGAATTCTACAAGGCATTTAAGGAAGAGCTAACCCCTATCCTTCACAGACTATTCCAAAACATCCAAAAAGATGGGAGACTCCCAAACTCTTTTTATGAGGCCAACATCATCCTAATTCCAAAACCAGATAAAGACACAACAAAGAAAGAAAACATCAGGCCAATATCACTGATGAACATTGACACTAAAATCCTCAACAAAATACTGGCAAACCACATCCAATACATTAAAAAGCCAATACACCATGACCAAGTGGGATTCATTCCAGGGATGCAAGGATGGTACAATATTTGCAAATCAGTAAATGTAATACATCACATAAACAAAAGCAA